AGCCTGCCTGTCTGTTGTGAGCCGTCCTGTTGGAGAGGGGCTTTCCCTTGCCTTCTCCTGAGTTTGGCTTCTAGAAATCACCTGGTTCCTGCGCTTCACTGTCAGAATTTGAAGTATCTGCTGATTTTTTTTCTCCTGGGGCAGCCAGAAGCGCGTGGTTTTGTGTGAGGATCCGCTCTCCCCAAATCCCCGAGGTTGCAGGCTCAGTGGGCCAGTGTCGTATCCTCTGCCCAATGCTGCAGTCAGTGGCGGGTGCCTTTTCTTGCCCCTCTTCTTCCCCGACCCCTGGCATGTTCAGCTCTCTTTATAGTGCATGGGAATTGATGTGTTGATTTCGGGTGTCAAAAAAAGAGTTGCTGGTTATTCTAAGTTTCACCGAGGAATGAATGAGCAGAACTGATCTGAAGAAGTGTGTGGAGAATGTAACTGTGTCTATCTTGCTCCAGATTCTGGTTCAGTCCTATACCATGTCATGCTGAAAAACAGAATTTGTCTCTCTTTTGGGTGGGGGGATAGATAAAAAGGCCCATTTCTTATAGCAGCTGTTTTCTGGGATCTAAGGTTCTGTGTTAAAGTTTAGTAAAGATTTCACTCCCATCCCATTCAAGGCACACTGAAAAAATGCTAGATGATAGGAATTGAACCTAGCCTGTCTCCATTTTTAAATATATATATATATATATATATAAATGGAGACAGGCTAGGTTCAATTCCTATCATCTAGCATTTCTTCAGTGTGCCTTGAATGGGATGGGAGTGAAATCTTTACATATATATATATATAATTGACTGTAGCTGATCTCAGTGGGACTCTCGGGTGTTCTGTTTCTATTACAATTTATTAATCTGCAGTAAAGCAATTAAATGAGAAACTGTCAAGTTTCAGCTAGCATATTCTTTCACAGTTTACTCCCTTCGCCTTTTCAGAGTTAAAAACCATGCGATCCTTACACTTAAAGTAGCTGAAATATGAATGCACATATTTTAGGTTAAAGCAGCAAATAGTAAAAGCTGAAGTCTCTCTTTTTTAAATCTGCATAAGGGGAATGCCAAGTTTCCCCATTACAGTAGTCCCACTGAGAAAGATTAGAAGACCCTAGAGTTAATAAAAACAATTCTGGGTTTTATTTTTCTTCAATATCACAGTTAGACATTGGAAAGTAGCAAAGCTCTTGGATTGATTGGAGTCAAGTTAGATGGGCTGGTTATATTACCATGAAGACTTCATTAATTTTCACCTTCAGAGAGAATTATTTTGTACAGTTTTGTTAGTTCTGTGCATTTGAGGAAGGGCCCCCACTTCCCCACAACACAAGCCATCTTTAGAAGGAATTCGCTAAATCCAGTTCAGGGAACTTCAAAACAATTAACGGCAGCTACTTAGAAAGTTCATTTTAATCGGGTTGAGTAAACGAAATCTGTTGATAAAAAACAAATATTAAACGTGTTTTCACGAATCATAAAACGTTTTAAGGAAAACTCCTACCAATGATCCCTTTCTGTTAAAAATCATGGTCTCGCTATTTTATTTGGACATTCTTCCAATCTTTCGTTTTCTCTTCATGTGGTCATCTCTATTAGTTATTTTTCCTATTCCGTAGCTTTTTTGGAAGCATCTCAAATTGATTTTTGTTTTGCCAAGTGTTTGTGTCTAGCAGTGTTCATCTAGATGGGATCTTTTGTACTTAGATGTTACAATTTTCGATCCTATTCTTTAAAAATGATGCTGCCTCTATTTGAAGTTTAAATTAAAACTTTTTCGTTGCAAAAACTCGATCAGCAGCTATGAAAACTATCTCTATAAATTGTCATGATCGGAAATCTAGGAGCAAAGTCTTTGAAAATGTTACTTTGGGATCCAAATGAACCAATTCACAAAAATCCAGACCCCAGTTACTAAGCTCTAGTCCAGCTGTACTGGTGGTTTAAAATCGCTGTGTCTTGTTCCTCAGGTTTAGACTTGGAAGCAGAAAAAGGTGGAAGCAAAAATACTTTCAAATGACAAGATTAGTGCGGGGCGGGGGTTGTTTGTCTGAAGAGAGAAGTTTTCATTGATTGCTAGATTCCAGTTCAGCATTTAAACGTTTTGAATTAAAAGTGGGTTCATAACAAATAAGAAACAAACACTGTGGTTTTTAGACGCTGCTCATAGGCATTTTGGCTGCTATAACTTCAGAGCAGCGTTTGACATAGTCTGGCTTTGCCAGCAGCAGCCCTTAACAGGAAACATTTCCTCCAGGTCAGCCGAAACGCTTTAAATTGAATCGACGCCGTGTGCGCCCTTCCCGCCCTTGTCTCCCCTCTAAACAGCAGGGTTTGAAACCCTCCGTCGTCCCCTCAGATCGCTTTGCAAATGCATTTCTCCTCTAATGCTGTACGTTTAGGGGGCAGATAAATGTTGACGTTGGCATGTGTGTTGTCTGGTAGCGGACCCGTAAAGGGGACAAAGAGACCATGATGAGTCTAGACTTCCAGTCCGAGTTGGATATAGGGCGGTTGCACAGGGAGGCAAAACTCCGGTGTCCTCTACGGGCTGCTGCTCCCCGCGCAGTGGAGGCGGTGGGTGTTAAGGTCTCCGTCGCTACTTAACTTCGGTTTCTGCTTGGAGAAGGGGCTTATTCCTCAGCTGTCCGGATCGCTTGTCCCCGATCAGAAATGCAGCCCGGAGTCGCTTTTGATCTTGCCTCCAGGGCTCGCTTTCCGGGCGCGTCCCAGGGTGCGTGGCCGTGGGGAGCGGGGCTCCTGGAGGCTCCTGGCTTCATTTCTTGCCCGCGAGTGATTTTCGTGAGGCAGTTTAGGAGCTGTGGCTCGGGGGCACCGGCTGGGTGCCCCCAGGGAAGCCTGGCCGGGGTCTCTCTAGGCGTGTGCGGAGTGAGAGGCGTTCCTCCCTCAGGCAGAGGCGGTGGGAAGCCGGTGCCGGGCGGGGCAGAGCCTCTTGGTCCCGGGGAAGCGGGCTTCCGCGGTCAGGGGGTTAGCAAAGGGCTGGCGGGTGGGGACGGAGGAGGGCAGGGCAGCCCGCCGGGGTCCCAGCGCCTCTTCCCTGTGCCTGCCCCGGCTGCCCAGCGCCCTGCGCTGTGCGCCCCCGGCGCCGGGCACTGGCCGGGCGCGGCGGGGCGCCAGGCAGAGCCCCAGAGGGCCAGGGGCTGGCAAAGGGCGGAAAGAGCCCTTCCTCTCCGGGCAGCCCCCGCAGCCTGGCACGGAGCCTCGGGCTGGGCTCTGGGGAGCGGGCAAGACGACTCGTCCCTCCAAGGGGTGGGGGCCCGGTGATCTGGGGACGGAGCCCGGGCAGGTCCGTGAGGCGAGCTCTGCGGCTCCGCGGGCCCGGCCCGGTGCTGCCTGGTCTTCGGGCTGCAGGCAGGACCAGATCCCCACGCCCAGGCCGGCCGAGGTATGCGGGCTGCCGAGGGCTCTGTGCTGAGGATCCGGAGGCTCCTGCTGGGGAGGGAAGCCCCGGCCCTGCCCTGCCTCGCCTCCGACCCGCTCCCGCCCGAGCAGGAACCGGCGGGCACCTGCCCTGAGCCCAGGCCAGGGAAAACTCCCTCTTCCCTTCCCTATATCCCTTGCCTCGAGGGAAACCTGCCCACGGCCCTAGTGTCCCGCCTCTCTTCCCCCCGCATGCAGCCCGGGTCTCCTCAGGTGCCGGGCGTGGGGCAGGCAGGGCGGCTGCGTCTCCCTGCCGGCCTTTGAAGGGCCCAGCTCCCCGCTGCCCCAGACGAGCCCTGCGGGGCGCTCCCGCCTCCCGGTGGCTCAAGGGACAGTCACCGGCTGCCCCGGGGCCGGCCTTGGAGGAGCCGCCCGAGCCCCAGCACATTCCTGGCATTTTTACCCGGTGAATTTTTGCCGCTAGCCGTTTCCTCCCCTCCGATTTATCGTGGCAAGGACTGGAGGAAAGGGGCATGAGACTTAGTCATTTCCCTTAAAACCTCGACCAGGGGGAGGACATGTCAGCCAGCCTCTAGGAACCGATCCAGGGCGGGTGAGAGCACAGGAGCCTGCAGGGGAGGAGGCGGGAGGGATCTCGGCTCGTGCCTGGCCTTCAGATACAGCAAAGGTTAAGAGACCTGGGTACAGGCAATAGAGTCCGAGCGGGGCCTCGCTGCCTGCTGTGACCGGGACAGAGGAGCTGGTGTTTCGGGCTGTGTTGCGATGCCTGGATATTCTGCAGCTTGTAACTAAAGGTCAGGGCGGACTGATGTGCGGGCGGCAGGGAGCAAGGTGCCTCCTGCACCGGCGAAGTCACTGGGTTGGTGCCCGGTGTCACCCTCCGGCTACAGCCGGGCAGGGGGTAGGGAGCGGCCCCCAGGCCGGCCCCTGCCTCTCCTGTCCTCGGCGGGCTCGTCCTGCCCGGGGCCGGAGACACTGTCATGCCAGGAATAGCCCGGCGTGTCGGTCCCGCAGCGGGCGGGAGATGCTTGCTCAGGTGACTGGCGGCGCCGCCCGGGCCGGGCCGGGCCGGG